TTTTTTTTTTTTTTTTTTTTACAATACTGCTGCTAATGTTTTCAGATGCAATGAAAAAAACAAGTTTGTAAGATCCTACTTTTCAAGTTGCCGTAGTCTTTGCCGTAGTTCCTGTGTGGCAATGGGCAGCGATATGTCTGAGGCTATACTTGGAGTTGGTTCTTTGACTGAGAAGTGGCTGGGAGAAGAGGTGAAGTTGGAGCCATGGAGACTGGAGGAACTTCGGCTGAGATCTGTTGGCCACTGGGGACTGGCATTAGGAGTTTGGCTTTTTTCACCCATATCAGTTTTTTTATCACTGTCAATCACTGGGGAAGCTTGGACAGGCTTATTTGAATCAGCTGATGGAGAAACAGGGGCCTGAGGCTTAAAAGATTTTCTTGTGTCTTTGGAAACAGAAGGCCTCTTTACTTGGGCTGAGTGTTGGTGATCTGGAGACCTCTCCTGCTTTTCAAGAGAAAGTACCTAGATAGTAAAAATATACATAACATTAAAGATCTACCATGGTATACAGGAAATCAAGACTTTTTCTATTAGATTTTTGGTAAGCTATACTGTATTTACTCAAATATAAAACAATCCCTCCGGTGATTAGATTCTATAAATGGAAAATTTATAAATTTGTTATAATTTTCCAGGGGTGTAGGTGGTAGCTATGTTGGTCTAAGGACATAAACATCCCACACCAGAACGGCATCCAAGCCTGCCTTATGTTTCTACAGGAACAAGATTACAACTCAGAATACAGACCCAAAGATATTACTGACCTTATACACTTCATCCTCACACACCACAATTTCACTTTTAATAATCAACATTTCCTCCAGATGATGGGAACAGCCGTGGGTACCAAAATGGCCCCACAGTATGCCAACCTTTTTATAAGCCACCTGGAAGACGACTTCCTCAAGAACTGCCCCATCAAACCCTTGTTATACGTAAGATATATCGATGACATCTTCGTCATTTGGACTGAAAACCTACAATCTCTGATTGAGTTCAGAAATTCAACAATCACCATCCCTCCATCCAACTTTCTCTAGAATACTCCAGCACCAGCTTCTCTGTTTTAGACATGATGCTCAGTATCCAGAATGATAAAATACAGACCACGTTATACAAGAAACCCGCAGACCAACATACATATCTGCACAGAACCAGCAATCACCCTAAACACACCAAAAAGCTGTGATATACAGCCAAGCCCTCAGATACCACCAAATCTGCACTGAAGAGAACACCTGGGATTTGCCACCTCACCAATCTTAAAAAGGCTTTCACCCAACAAGGACACTCCTCCAGAGAGATAGATCGCACATTTGAAAGAGCCACTTGGATAACATGTGAAGAACTGCTGCAGTACGGAAGAAAACCCCCCACAAATCGCACACTGCTGGTTATGACATATCACCCGTCTCTCAAACCTGTATAGAAAATCCTCAAACAATTGCAACACATACTAGAAAGAGACCCTACTCTTAAAAAGATCTTTCCAGAGCCACCCATCCTAGCCTTCAAACAAGCACCAAACCCTGCTAACCACATCACCCGAAGCAAACTTCCTCAAGCCCAGAACACACGGAATGGATCCAGACCATGCCATGACAAGAAATGCAAAACCTGCCAACACATCTCCACCACCCCCACAATTACTACACCCCACAACAGAGCCATCAGCATTCTCAGACCTTACAGATGCACCTCCAGAAATGTAATGCATCTCATCCAATGCACCAAATGCCCAGATGGACAATACGTAGGAGAGACCAAACAACAACTGCACACCAGAATGAATGCACACCAGAAATCTATCAAAGACAGAAATACCCAATTACCTGTGGGGGCACATTTCTCACAAGAAAACCATTCTCTTTCCAATCTCTCAGTCCTGATCCTCAAAGGAAATTTACAAAACACTTCCCAGAGATGAGCCTATGAACTGCACTTCAACAACTTCCTGGATACTAAAAATCATGCACTAAATATAGACGTTGGATTTATGACACATTATAACCTGCCTGACATCTGACTCCCTAGGTATCTCTCCACTATTCATCCCCCTTCTCTCTCTTCCCCACCCCCCGAAAGCCTGTCTCTCACCCTTTGACTCCTCAATCTATATTTTCACTGACTACCTGTTTTGTATGCAGACCAGCCCAGCCTCTGGCTTCTTTACGTTTCATTCCATCCAGGAAGACCACACATCAACTGCTGAAACTTCCTTAGCCTGACAAAGGGTTTTTGAACCCGAAAGCTTGCTTAATAATTGTTTTCCAACTATTTAAGTTGGTCTAACAAACGATATCAGATTCACGCAAAGGACCTTGTCTGCTTATAATTTTCTGGGCATTAAATTTAATTGTTGGAGGTTTGCCTTGAAGCCTCCCTCCCACTGCTACAACAGGGGAAATAAATTTGGGGGAATCAGATAGTAGCTTTGCCTTCTACCCCACAACTTCTTCCACCTACAGCCCCTTTCCCCTACCCCACCCGACACCAGACTTTGTTCTCCCTGAGCACATGGAAGTTAGGGGCAAATCTGAAAACACTGATTTTGAAATAAACATGCCTAAAGTAACTTGCATATAGGCAAGTTACTATGGGTACCCATAGACTTAGGTAATTCAGAATGGATTAATTCTACCTTCTTTGAAACTACTGCAAATTTTAGCACAGGTACTCCATAAACATGCTTTACGGTAGTGCTTTAGCATCTACTTAGAGAACAAGTACAAACTATGCATGAAGTTAGTCCAAAGTCAAATGGCTCATGATTTACCATATAATTCACTGGGCTGGGCCTCACCAGAGTCAACAGCATTTTAAGCCAGTGACCCCATGGCTCAGCACTGCTCACTATGTGTGTATACTCTAGATACCCCCCACAAAGGACCCATGTGCTAATTACTGCCCCTCACACTCATGCCTGGAACCAGGTGTTTTTGTCATGAGTCCTGTGTTTCTCCAAAAAATTATATTCAGATAAGGCACAGGACAACCTGGTCTGGCTCCACACTAATCATAAGTGATAGGCTGGGGAGGGGGTGGGCAACATAAGGATTCTGGGAGAACTGTTTGGGGCCCTGTTTCATGATGTTTGCCAGACATTTAAGGCTGGTAAAGAAACAGAAATAATTGGAAATGCGAAAGGAAGGCACAGCTCAGCTGTGGGAGTGAAGAAGTAAAAATGTATTCAATGTAGTGGCTCACCATGATCTGAGTCAATGCTAAGGGGGACTGAGCACAATGGGCACTACCATATATCTTATTCAGATGGGCTGCAGTAACCTATCTTTGTATGTTTGTACAGTTATATGGGGGAAGAGGACAGGGAGAATGAAAAGGACAACGATGTAACTGGACCCGGAGACAGCAAGTAAGACAGCAACAGGATCAGCAGCTGCGAAAGTGACAGTGACATCAGTGACAAGGACAGTGAATGAACTGAGAATGTAAACCCCAAATTGCGTCCTGAACTAAGGGACTGCGATTGGGTTACGGAAGGGCAGTGGGTGGGTACACAGGGGAGCAGGTGCATTTATTGTAATGGGTGTGTGTTTTCTTAATGTGGTTTAAGGTGTATGATGGAAAGTTTTATGCTAGATGATGTATATATTCTAATATTATAAAAGCCTTAGTTTGTCTGTCTGTCCATAACTCTTTATATGCACTCTGATTGGCTGACTGAAG